AATAGGAGGAGGTGTATGAGATAATCTTGATAGGCTGTTCAATTGATGTTGAGTCAATAGTTCCATAACGGCTAGTTTTTGTTGAGGATGAACCTCGATAGAATCATGAGAAAAATTTGAGATTTCAATAAAAAGTGATTTACTTGGTGAGATAAGGCCATTGGCTACACGAGGATTTTCATGAAGTGAAGAAACGGAATATGTTTCATCTGGAGAAAATTTAGAGAATGGTTTCGTAGGATTAACAGGGATAATCATAGAGTGGTACGGAAGTAAAGAATGTGCTTCAATAGCTGCTAAAGAGTATGATGACGAATTGGAAGAGGTAAGGGAAGAAGTGTTACACTGATCGAGAGATGGCGATTGAGATGCAAAAGAATTTGTATCTTGTGACTCCTTCGGGAAGAGAATTTGATCGTGTGTACCTCCGACATGAATATCATGTTTTCGTAAAAAATCCAGGCCGATGATACAAACATGTTGTAGGTGAGGTAGAATATAAACTGGATGTAAAAATGTCTTATTGAAAAAAGAAATGTTCAATTGAAAGAGGCCGTGTGTACGTAAAGATTGTCCATTAGCACAACGTACTGTTAAAGATGGAGATTTAATAGGGATAAGTTTGCAGTACTTTTGCTCGATTTTACGAAATGCCTCGGCACTAAGGACAGTTAAATTTGATCCAGTGTCAATAGTAAATTTTGTTGGGTACCCTTCTAATGTGCCATTGACCTGTAATAGTTGGGAAGAAGGAATGAAAGAATTATGGATAGAACTAATAGAGAGAGAGGATTTTTTATTTAGATAATTTTCGGAGTCCCGCCACCTCCCATCAGTAAGACTCCGTCTTAGTTTTTTGAATTTGAAGGATATCTGGAAGACTGAGTACGAGGACATTGGGATGCTAAATGTCCTGGAGTATTACATTTATAGCAGATAATATAAGATTGACGAGGATTAGATGTGTGGGAGCTAGTTGAAGAATGAAGAGTAGCTGAAATAGTAGTATTAGACTTTTCAATATGCACAGTTTGTTTGGAACGAGAAAAATCAATGAGTTCAGCTTCTCGGGCTCGCTCAAGAAAATTTTCAAGAGTAGGATAGCTAAGAACACCGATCAGAGGGACTAATTCAGGTCGAATTTTAGTAAAAAGATGTCTAACAAGATCACGCTCTGTTTCGTTCGGTTTATGTTCTGACCAGAGGCTGCGTAAACGAACGAGAAATTCGTTGATTGATTCATCAGGTCGTTGAATGGATCTATTTCATTCCTGCTCGATTTGTGCAATTCGCAACGGTGAACTAAATTGTTGTAAGAAAAGAGTTTGAAATGTGTCCCAATGGAGAGGAGGACTATGGCTAGTGATGATTTGAATATACCACTCAAAAGCAGTACCTTTCAAAAATTGACCTATATTTTGAAGTAACATTTCTTTGTCCCATCCATAAGATGAGTTGGTATATTGATGGAGTTGTAAGAGGAATGGACGTGGTTTTTCGTCAGCTTTGCCTGAAAAAGAAGGAGCTATTGTAGCTTGTTGGATGATGACTGTTTGCCGTGCAGGAAGAGAGAGTAAGGTGTCTGGTGGAGAAGGAACATTTAGTAAAGAATGAGAGTGTATGGAGTTATTAGAAGAAGAGGGAGGTAATGGAGTTGTTGGAGAGGGTACGGGTGGAGAAGTACGAACAGCAGCAAGTGTTGCACGAATTTCAGCCGTTAATTTGGATATTTGTGTAGAAACATAAGTACGAAAGTCCTGAAATTGGGTATCTAGGTGTTGAATTGTGTCATCTAATTGCTGATATTTTAACTCCTGAGCCTTGGAGAGATGATGTACTTTCTCATTGAAATTCTGTTCGAGTTGAGTGACTGTGGACTGTACGGTAGTCAACGTGGTTTCGATAGAAGTTGTGCGTGTTGCTGCAAATTGTAGTCCATCGCGAAGACTAGTGAGATAATCCTGTAATTTCTGCCCGTCAGACTCGGTCACAGTTAAAATAGGATTGTGCTAACGTAAGACAGGAAAATAGGAGACTACTAATAGTAGTAAAAAGAAAGAAAAAGGACTAAAGAAAAAGATGAAAAATTTCGAAAGAATAATGCGCTAAAGTGAATGGAAAAATGTAACCAAAATTCGATTGGTGTGATCGCCACGTGTGATGGAACGATTCACTCGTTCTGAGTTTATTTCAATAATGCTTCTTGATAGTATATATGAACGCAGTATATATATGAACGCAGAGAGAAAAACGAGAGAGAATGATTAATGAATAGAACATTAGAACATGACCGATGTGTCCGATCAGGGTCATGAAGAGTAGTGACGGGTAGAATCCGTCACACACCCCTCCNAAAAGAAGGCTAAAGACGCATTTGAATGCATAACGAACAAACGCGTCCAAACGCATAAAACTAAATGCATTCAAACAATGTTTTTAAGTTGCGTTTTAATTTGAAAAAACGCGTTCAAAATATAAAAGATGCGTTTAAACGCGTTAGAAATAAAAATCGATGCGTTTAAACGCGTTGAACTTAAAAAAGGATGCGTAGAAACGCAAAAATAGCGTTTTTTTCCTAAAAGTTTGCGTTGGAACGCATTTTTATACAATTTTTTTTTTCATGGGCAGAAGAACGATGAAGAAAAAGCATTATCGGAACAATTATACCACTAAAACATCGTCCAAAGGTTCGAGGTTCATTAAATGAGCAATACCATTCAGATGCTGATACCATTCAGATGCTGATACCATTCAGATGCTGATACCATTCAGATGCTGATACCATACGCAAAGTATGGTCACAATGTAGGCAACCACAAGTAACAATTGTTTTAATTAGTTTACCTAATAAATCGATATAATTGCTTGATGTGACCAATATACCAAGTCATTACTTAAATATGTGAAAACGGTTTTTTTTTTGTCTCATTTGCCAATGATGATTGGCATTCTGATGTTTTTGGACTGATTTCAACACATAAATTGAACCAAGATGTCATGCACCTTTGTAAAAATCAAGTTTAAGCAAGTTGTGGTTATTATCATTCCTTTTGCAATCAGCACAAGCTTCAGTTGAACATTTCTGTCGTATATATCAACAAGGACAACAGCTCGAAACGAAAATATGAATATGAATACAAATGACTATGAACAGTTTGCAAAATATGATTATTTTGCTTGACGTATTTCAAGATATGCTTAAACTTATTCACACAGATCACTCGCCAACCATGTATGTTTTATGTTGAACTGAATAAATTAAAATTACACCAAAGGTAAAAATGTTGAATCTACCAATAATCCAATATTAATCGATGACTAACATCTGGATAATTAATCGAGAATCATACAGATAGGAATATTGGAATCGTTTTATAGTAATAGATATTTTCGCTTCACCGAATCAAATAATGATTGTCATCTGTGTGTCGAGTGTACAGAAAATTAGATGTAGCATAACTTCATCCACAATATCGGGCGTCAGCATTTGAAGAAGATGTCAAGGAAAGAGAAAATAAACAACAAAGAAGCCTGATTGAACCAGTATCAGAAGCGTTGAAAAAGGTACAAAGCTTTTAAAGGTCGATTTTTCGGTCTTGCAAATGATTACGATCGAACGTCTTGCTTATTATTAGCAAGAGCAAAAAATTTTGATGAGCTAAATCTATATTTGAAGATGCCAATCAAAGATACGTTTAAAACAGTGAATCTATTTTTCTTTGAGCAGCATCAGCAAGACAGACTGCCATAGTTAGCTAAAGTAGGTAAACGACTGTATTCAATATCTTCAACCTTGAGATGTGTTAAACGATAATTTAGTGCTGCCATATTTCGGGGGAGCAAAAGACAATGTTTATAGACCTGAAAATAGTGAAATGTGTCCTGTTTATCTCTTCTATACGGCCAGTACTGACGAACGCTTCTAATATTCCTCCATGCAAACTTAATTCTCTTTATTTGCTGGCCATCGATTTTTTTATCATTGGAAAGTACTAATCTAATTAAACTCATTAAAACATGAACGATATGCCCTTGACACATTTCTTTAGACGCGTTGAAATGATCTTTAATATAAATTATTGAGAAGATTCCATGTAAATAGAGGTTCTTTTACATCTAGACCAGGGGGTCGGAGGCACATTTATACCAGAGAATTTCGGCTCTAAAGATATGCTTCTATTTCAAGCTATGATTGCTACTCATTACTTCACCTATTGTTCTAATGACATTGTTATTTAATTTTTTTTCTGACTCTCCATTTCGACCGTTAACAGATCATGCCATATCTGGATAGTTCTTTTGTTCTTGTCTGCATGTTTGTTTGAGACTAACAATTATATGTTTGATAAGTTAAGACACCATGCGATGAACTATCGTTAGTGAGTAGCGGTAATTGGAGAGAAGTGTGTCAAATAAGGCGGTAAACTGTTACAGTACAGTGGAAAAATCGTTAACTTTTTGCTCAGAAACTATGCTAAGCGCTGCTATTGACACTCTGGCGAAAACTACCATCTTGACGGTAGTAATGGTATCGTTTCTCACTGTTTACTATTACTTAAGATATTCATGATGAATAACGTGAATACTGTCATGTGTGTAGATTTTGTTTTTTTATGACTGTTTGAACATGTCGAGCGAAAAGTCTTTCCTATCGTTTTTTCTTCCTATGTCAACACTATCTGACTACCTTGAAAGATATCGAGAATCACGATACTTTGGGGATGAGAACTCGAATTACAAGCTTGCAATTTTTGTGAAGTTGCAATGTTAGCGAGAGTGACTCACAGACGACATTATGTGGTTGGAAATTTCCAACATGTACGAATAACATGTCTGTCTCCTTGTGTTGATGTGATATGAGATAATTTTGACTTTTTTTTAGCTTAGTCACGTAAAAATTGCATTCAGCATCGACTTGTGCGATATGAATTCCCTAATCATGCTAGTGTTACTGAAAATTCTACGAACGAGATCATCTGGATATGACATATCCTCTTAGGTTGATCGAGTGAGTAAAACACGAAGATGCAACACCATTCAAACAGTTATATAGAACATCAAATTGATTACTGGCAAGAAATATGATATAGAAGAAATGTTAAAGAAGTTATGAAAGCTCCATGACAACATTTCTGAATCATTCATAATAACATATAGTTCTTTTTTATTGCTATGTTCAGAAAGTCATAGCATATTATAAATTATTTTCATAAAAAGACAAGTAACATTCATCGAATGTCGATCCACTTGTCTGTAGA